TGAATAGACTGAAACAGCTATCCAGAAAATTTTGAAATAAACATAATTTAAATCTGCATGTGAGTTCCCAAGGCATATAGTGTTGGACAGATGTTGGTGTGTGTGAAGCCTCCAGCACCATGGGTCCTAATAGTCCACCAGTTTTAGAATAGCGATGTCTAATCAAGGCGGCAGCCTGTGAGAAGTGAGTTTCCCTGATGCTTTTACAGTTATTTGCTTTAATTAGATGAACACAGGAATGCATCTGTGCTGTTGTTACTGCTCTTTCACCTTAATCAGAAGTTTTAAGTAATATTTCCCCAAATGTTGTACACATACCACAGACGGTGTAGGAGATTATTTTAAGTGGCAGCCCAACAAATATGTTTCATTTAAACATCTGTGCATTGATTTCATTTGTATTAAAACATACTGCAAAGCACATATTTGATAAAGCACCGGTACCCAAAATATACAAAGTTAAAACTCAACAACAAGCAACAGCCCAATTACAAAAATGGTCAAAGACCAGAACAAATATGTCACCAAAGAAGACACACAGATGGGAAAGAAGCTGATGAGAAGATGCTCTATATCATCTGTCAGCAGGGAGATGCAAAGTAGAAACAATGCTGAGACATCACTACGCTCCATCAGAAAGGCCAGACCTGTGTGGCCGTCCGGTCATTCGCACACTGAGGACACTGGGCACCTTGGCCACAGGAACTCACACTCGCCGCCCAAGACAGTTCGCTGGGGGTTTTTACAAAAGATAAACCCATTCACCTTACGATCCAGCAGCCCCTCTCCTTGGTATTTACCCACAGGCTTTGAAGATGATGTCCACAAAAGCACCTGCACACAGATGTTTATAGCAGGTTTATTCATTATTGCTGAAACCTGGAAGTGCCCAAGATGTCCTTCACAGGTGATGGATAAATAAACCGGGGTCCTTGCAGACCATGGGATATTATTCAGTCCTAAAAAGAAATGAGCCATCAAGCCGGGAGAATTCACAGAGGAACGTGGAGAGCAAGTCCCTCAGTGAAAGAAGGCAGCCTGAAATGGCCACGAACCACGTGATCCCAGCTCTGTGACGTCCTGGGAGCGGCAGAGCTATGGAGAAGGTGAGGATCAGTCACTGCCCGGGGTTCAAGAGTGGGGGAAGGGAGGGGGTGAATAGGTGACACAGAGACATTCGGGGGCGTTGAAACTATTCCCTGTGCTGGAATGGCGGTTACATGACATGCACTTGTCAAAACCCACAGAACCAGGAGTCAGCCTCAATGCAAGGCATGCAATTCGTATTAGCTAATACAAATATATCGATATGGGTTCAGTCTTTGTAACAGATGTACCAACCAGTGCAAGATGCCATTCCATGAATGGGAGAGACTGTACGGATGGGAGGGCCTGCAGAACTCTAACTCTGTACCAGATGCTCAATGTTCCTGTAAAGCTAACGCTGTAAAAAGAATCTATTCCTTGAAAACCCCCTCCAAGTTGTTGCTCCGTAAGTAGAGGTCACCTGTTATTATAAGCAGCCAGTGTGTGCCCAGCACGGTTGCTGGCGCTGGAGGTCAGCGTAATAAATGGCTCATGTCCACCTTGCGGCTGAGGACCTGCTGGCGGTGGGCTGCCACCAGGTGGCGCTCCCGCCCCTCTCCTCCTTCCTTCCTCCTCCCTCCGTCTCTCTTCCTGCCTCCCCCACCCTGCCTTCCTCCCTTCCTCTCTCCCTTCCTGCCTCCCCCACCCTGCCTCCCCCACCCTGCCTCTCTCTCTTCCTCCCTCTCCCCCATTTCTTCTTCATTTTCTCAATTCTGTTTCTGGCTTTCCCTTTTCCCATTTCTGTGAGTGAACTGTCATCCCTGGATCTAATAACATGAAGGTGGAGCCCCGTTCTGTTCTTTTGGATGAGCATTGCCCATGGGGGATGGAGAGGGGCAGCAGGGCATGCAGGAGGGGGCGTGGACTGACAGTAGCCCAAAGCAGCCCTGCTGCACCTTGTGGGTTCCTGGCACTGGGGAGAGCCGTGGTGACTGCGCAGTGTGCTGGGTGACCCTGTGAGGCTGCTTTGGCTGGAGCACCCACCCACATACAACCTGGAGGGACCGCAGTCCCACCTGAGCTCTTAAATGCCCCTGGGCCCCCTTCCCCACCTGCAGCCCCTGAGCCTCACCTCACTGTCCAGGTGGTTTTCCCTGTAGCTCCTGGGTTGGATTCCCATCCACACCCTGGCCCCTGGCTGTGGGATGAACCAAGTGTGTCCAGACTCTCCAGCACGCTCCTCCTGAGACCTGGTTTTGCTCTTGGCTGCCCAGCCCTGCCTGGGGTGCCTTCACACCCAGACCACCTCCCCACTCCCCATGCGGATCCTGGGTCTGAAGGGCCTTGCCGCCTCCTACAAATCCCCCTGTCTGAACAAAGGGATTAAAATCCCAAAATCTAAGGGGGAAAACAGACACTCAGATAACCAACTCCAGCTATTACCAAAGCCATGGCCAGGAGGAATTTGGCTACATGACGGAGGATGCCTCATCCAGACGGGGTCAGGTAGAAAGCTGGATCTGACCATGCACGGGAGGCCGTGAGCGTCACTACTATGGGAGACACAGGGGGCAGGGGGACACTCAGGCTTGGGAAGCCGGGAAGGGCTCTTGAGGTGAATGAGAAAGGATCATGAATGTCATGATGGAAAAACCTGAAATCTTGGGTTGGGGAAAAGGCTGGTGCATGAAATTACAATCAAATTAAAACTTGGATTTCTTGATAAAATACTAGTATCTATCTCATAAAATACCTGTATTTATCAATAAAATATTAGTATTCAGAATATAAAACGAATTATAGTAGATCAATGAAAACGCACAAAACCAAGTTTTTTAAAATAGGCAAAAAACAAAACAAAACAACAGGCAAATTATGGAAGAGGAAAAGCAAATAGGAGGCTCACCCTCACTAGAAATTAAGAAAACTCAAAACCTCACAGGTTAGCAAAAATGGAGAAGCCTGGTAGTGCTCAATGGGGACGGGAACAGAGAGCACCAGGAATCTTCAGACTTTGCTGGTGAGAATGTAAGTTCTTGCAATCACATTGGAAAATCATGTTAAACCCCAGCAACTCCACTCCTACAGTCCAGAATATTTATATCCACAGGGACACATGTATAAGGATGTTCAGAGCAATAATATTTGTAGTAGCAAAGAAAAAAAATCGAAAATAGCCTAAACTTCATCAACAGAAGAGATTAAGAAAATTGCAAGATAGTCATACAAGGAACTGTTTGCAGCCGCGGAAATGAAGACAATATGCATATCATCACAATATGGAATGAGAAAACAGATGCCTAAGTATATAGAGCTTGCCACCACTTACAGAGGGTGGGCAGAACAGTACCACATACAGCTTCGAGATGCAGAGGGAGTGAGCACATGAAGACTAGCTCTGTGTCTGGGCGTGACTTCCGGGAGGCGGGGAGCACATGCAGGGCTGCTCTCACAGCCCCGAGGCTGAGGGTGCATGGCTTGACCCCGGGCGTGTCCCCTGAAGTTGCACAGAACAGTGGCCATGAGGACACAGGCCTCCAACAGTGACGTCGAGGCCGAATCGGTGATGAGTGTGCAGGTGTTAGTAACAGTATTTATATACTTCTGTGCAGTTTAGCATTACATAATGTATCTTAAAACAGATTTTAAAATCCAGAGTGCAGGAATTGGCAGCGCCTCGGAACAGTTTAGCTTAGGAGTGAAAAGGTCAGGTTTGAATTTTGGAAAGCTCACCCTGCAGGCAGGATGGGGGATGAAACTGAGAGGCGTGTTGAAGCGGGGTCTAATGAGCCTAGCTTCGAGTCGGGAGGATGCAAGGGAAGACGAAGCCCTGGCAGCCGGGCTGGGGAAGAAGAGATGGAGCTGAGGTTAGCAGAAATGCTTGCAGATGACAAGCTGCAAGGAATGTCCTAGACATCACTGTCGAGACAGGAGGGACGAGCGCAGGAAAGCCAGCAAGCCCTGTCCTAGGAGCCAAGATCCTTAACCGAGACGTGAGCTTGGCGGGAGGAAGGCCGCTCCAGGTTGGGTAAATGGCTTCGAAGTGATGCTGGCACGTGGCTGTGGGAAGACCAGGCAGGTGCTGGAGGGGCCCCACTCACCGGGAAGGGGACGGGGCACAGCCCGAGCAGCTTGAAAAGTGGAGCGTGCGTCGCAGAGGGTTGCTGGAGGACCAGAGAGGTGAAGACCAGCTGAGAGTGGTTTCAGAAGATCCCATTAAGTTCTACAGTAGAGGTGAGAAGTAACCGGGGAGCTGCACTCCACCAGCGTGAGCAGTGGGTGGGCCCTGAGGTCCTGACGGGGACCAGGAGAGGGACAGGGAGGGCCAGTAGTGGCGGGGCTTTGGAATCTGCCCTTTCCTCTATCACTTGGCCCCAGGGTAACCTCCCCAGGAAGGGGGCTGGCTGCGATTAGGATTCTAGAGAAATGGGGTAGGGTGCTGTCCCCTCTTTCAGCGTGGCTGCCCCTGGGCACTTGACCTCCCCAGAGAGGGGTGCGGGCAGCATTGAGCTGCAGAAAGGAAGCTGGGGTCTGCTAGTGAATTGCTGGCACATTTTTGTTTTTAATCATAGCCAAGTGTGACTCTCACACCTGTGATCCACGGGCAAGCAGGGAGCCCTGGGAATGTACATGTTCAAGGACATTTACCCTTTATCCCAACAGGCTCTTCCTTAAAAAAAAAATAGTGTTTGACGTTTTATCGTTGGAGCATAGAGCAGTGATAGGATATTAAAGCTGTTGGGGGGGGGGCACCTGCGGGGCTCAGTTGTTAACCGTCTGCCTTCGGCTCAGGTCATGGTCCCAGGGTCCTGGTTTCAAGCCCCTCCTCGGGCTCCCTGCTCGGCGGGAAGCCCGCTTCTCCCTCTCCCACTCCCCCCTGCTTGTGTTCCCTCTCTCGCTGTGTCTCTCTCTGTCAAATAAATAAATAAATAAATAAATAAATAAATAAATAAATAAAATCTTAAAAAAAAGCTGCGTGGGGACCTCAGACAGCCATTAGTTCAACTTTCTAATTTTACCATTTGAGACCTAGAAAGGTAAAAGTTACTGTCAGCAGCTATGAGGATTCTATGGGAGAAAATGTGCTAGAAGTGTGCCAGCTTCACAGATCCCCTGTCACACACTGTGGACCGCAGAACGTTGTTGTGAGCTGAGTGTGTGTAAAAAGATGGAGCTCGGGGTGCCTCTGCCCCATCCCACCCGGGGCAGGTGAGGCTGGTGTTGTGTGAGGTTAATTCGCTGTCAGAAAGGTTCAGTTTACATAAAGCCTCTTATTTTTAGGGAAGAAGTGAACAGATGCCCCCCAATATGAGACAGAATTAAGAAACCTTATCCGTGTTTTAGCGACTCAGGAGAGAAAATGATCAGACCCTGCTCCAGCCCAGAACAAAAACAGCCTCTCTTGTTTCCCCGAAGAGCAAGTCGAAGGCGTCAGCCAAGGCTGAAGGTTGGTGAGCCTGCCACGGGGCAACATTCCTATGGAGTTCCACGGGATTGGCAGTCCTCTGTGTCAGGGGATGTACGCACACCGATTGTACTTTGGGAATGATTGTTCATGTCGCGTGCCTACTGCACACTGCTCCGGGACGTTTTCTGGAAACAGAAATTCAGGAGATTTGTTGAGTGCCGTTGAACAACCTAATCTCCATTTGGTTTCACTAACTGGGAAGGATGACTGCCGATTTTGGAAAGAGTCTATGCGGCTGTGTCAGAGGGATAGATGCAGTTGCCCCTTCCTGGGAGGCCTGTCACCTTTCCCAGGAAGTGGCCGCTGGTGAGGATGCACACAATGCAGTGCTTCCATCTATGACCTAACACAGCTCTCCAGCACCGTGAGGCACTAAGCAATAAAGGAAGAAGAACGTTGTGGGTCCATGATCAATGTGCCCTATGAGAGGAGTGAGCCTCCTCGAGTAGGAAATGGGAATTGAAGTCGAAATAGGTATTTCTGCCTCAACCCTTGGTGCAGGTGAGTCAAGGACAAAATATGATCTAAGACGCCAAGGGGCACAGAGATGGAGCTGGTGTGGGTGCAGATCGCATGGACCAAGCTCGCTCTGCAGATCAGAGGTGTCTGGAGAACAGCTCCGCTATTTCTTTCCATGAAACTTGAGCAAGAGAGTTACTTCACCCCCTAGGGCCTCAGCTTCCTTGTGTATAGAAAGGAATAACCATCCTTATCTACCACAAATTGGATTCTAAGGAGCAAGTGATAACATAGACAAGCATTTTATAGAAAGGGGATAAATAAGTATCATTCGGGAAAACTTCAAAATTTCAGAATGCTTCACAATTGAATTTAAACAAGTATTGTCCCTATTAGGATTATATGAAAATTTTACCCGAAATTTTGATGTTTTGCCTATTCTTTTTTTAACATTTCAGGACTGAATCTATTCATACAGTTTTGGAAAGTGGACACTGTCTCTCTATAATAAGTAGTCTTTGGCATAAAGAACCTAAAATCTGCATTGTCTTTTCAACACCATTTTAACTTTCTGGTGGATGAAACCCTCGTACCCCACCACCCCGTTTCTCTGCTCATTACTTTGGCAGACGCAGAAGTGAAAGAGCTTGTCTTCCATGTGTCCTTGAAGAGGGTGACATGGTGTCTGGCGTGTAGTAAGCAGCCAGCCGACGGTGAGGAAGGTAGACGACAGACGCAAGGTAGATAAACCAAAGCAATCTCTTCCATGACCCCACGGCGGAACTTGTCATCATTCACAGCTGTTCAGCCTTCCGGTGTTTTTTAGAGCCCCACCCCTGATGGCAAACTTCCTTTTCCCACTCCATCATGGCCACTGATCATGTCCTATGTCCTCATTCTTCCTTATTATTCAAGACATTCACACATCACTTGCTTTCTTATTTGAGTGTTTGAACATCATTCCTTATTTCCTATCAGCTGATTGTGCTCTCTGAAATCACGCTGTCAGGTGGGAGATCGAGGGCCCCCCCCGCCAGTCAGCTCTGCCAGTCCTCACACCCGCCCTTCCATGTGGACCGTGCCCATTTTCTTGGGCTCCTGTGTGCTTCTGAGAGAGTCACATGTCGGGACACATTGGTATCACTATGAATTCCAGCTTGGACTCAGCAATCATTAAATTCATCTATTTATTGTATCTTATCATTATAGTGCTGTTGTTTCAATTATCATGTTGTTTCCATTTTCTTTGGTGTCAAACTAAGTCAATTTATTTCTGAAACTACTCCAGGCAATTTCAACGTCAGGTGGATTTCAGAGTCTACTTCAACATGCAACCTGTGCATTTAAGCAACTCTGCAGTGAAGTTACCCTTAGCTTGAATCTATCTTGGAACCTGAGAAACAAAGAACAACAACAAATTAGGGTGCCTGGGTGGCTCAGTCGGTTAAGCGTTCACCTCAGGCTCAGGTCATTATCCCAGGGTCCCAAGATCAAGTCCTGTGTCGGGCTTCCTGCTCTGTGGGGAATCAGCTTCTCCCTCTGCCTCTGCTTCCCCTGCTTGTGCTCTCTTTCTCTCTCACATACACACAAATAAATAAATGAATAAAATCTTAAAAAAAAAAAGAACAACAACAAATTGAAAAGCCCAAACATTCTAAGACTTGGCAAGTGTGCTAATGCTAAGCTCTTCCATCCAATTCAAGAGAAAGGAATACTTCACAGTTCAGTCTAGGAGACTAGTATTAACCCAATACAGAGACCAGAAAAACACATTACAGGAATTAAAAAAAAAAAAAAAAAAAGAACCACGGACTGATATCTCTCATGAACACAGATACAAAAATTCATAAGAAAATGTTAGCAAGTGCAATATTCATTCATGACAGAAACTCTCAGTCTACGAAAGGAAGGGAATGTCCTCAGTATGATAAAGGGCAACTCGAGAACACCTAAAGCTAATATCCTAATTAATAGTGACAGACTGAATAGTTGCTGTTACTTTGTCTACCCATTAGTACTAGAACTAGTCTTAGAGGTTCAGGCCAGTACAATAAAACTAGAAAAAGGTGGGGAAAAACAGCTCTATATTGGAAAGGAAGTAAGACAGTTTATTCTCAGAAATCATAATCACTGATTTAAAAAAATTCTTTTGGAGTCTACAGAAAAACCTACTATGACTTTTAAGTTTAGCAAGGTTTCAGGTTAAAAAAAAGGATAAACAACCAATATAAAAAAATAGAGCTATCAATTTGACAATAGATAAGCAATATGTTTAACATGACACAAAAATACGAACTACTCAGGAAGGATATATTTGACAAAAGATGGACAAGACCTGAGCATTGGAAACTACAAAACACAGCTGAGAGGAATGGGAAGGGATTTGAGTAAACTGGAAAAGATACCGTGGTCATAGACTAGGTAACTCCATATGGTTAAGGTGTGAATTTCTGCCAAATCAATTTATGGATTCGAAGCAATTCTATTAAAAAATCTCAGCTGGCTTTTTAAATTTTTTTTTTTTTTTGAAATTGACAAGCTGATTTTAAAATTCAGGAAATGTGTGTGGCATTGGAGATAAGAGAAATGCAAAAAAGTAACAGAACAGAATAGAGTCCAATATAGGCCTGTACATATATGAGCAATTAATTTTAAACAGTGTTGATAAGGCATTTTAATGGAGAAATAATCATCTTTTTATCAAATCGTGCTGGAGCAATTGGATATCATATTGAGAAAATGAAACTCAACCCTTACATCATACCATATTTAGAATTAACCATAATGGAGAAAGACCAAAATGTTAGAGGTAAAACTTCCAAAAGAAAACAGAAAATTTTAATGACTTTGGGTTTGGCAAAGTTTCCTCGAAATGACACAAAAAGCATGGAACAATTGATAATGTGAACCTCGAAAAACCCCAAAACTCACGCCATTCAAAAGACAATATTATGGGAATGAAAAGGCAAGCCACCTAGTAGGAGGAAATATTACAAAACATATACCTGACAAAAGCAATTGTATTTGGGGTACAGAAATAACTCTACACCTCAATGAGATGACAAACAATCCAATTAAAAACGGGCAAAAGATCTGAACAGACACTACATCAAGGACGATCCATGAATAGCAAATAAGCAGATGAAAAGATGCTCCATTTCATTAGTTATTAGAGAAGGGCAAATCAAAACCACAGTGAGATAACATCACACACCTACTAGAAGGACTAAAATTCAAAAGGTTAACCATACCAAGTGCTGGTAAAGTGAAGCAACTGAAATTCCTACATTGCTGGTAGAAATGCAAGACGGCACATCTACTCTGGAAAGCGGTTCAGCAGCTTCTAAAAAAGTGAAAGGAACAGCTACCATTTGACCCTGCCACTCCACTCCTAGGACAAACGAAAGCATGTGTTGTGTCCATGCCAAGACTTGAGGCAAATGTTCACAGCTGTTTCATCTATGATCAGGGCCCGTGCGAGGTGAGGCACGTGGAATATACGTACAAACCTGGGGGTGAGCACAAGCTGCCTTGTTCTTTCACCTATCTGGGTCCTGTTTATAAGACTTAAAAACCGAAAACAACCCAAATGTCCATCAACAGGTGGATGGATAGAGAAACGGTGGTATACCCATAAAATGAAATACTATTCCGTGCTCTCTTCGGCAGCACGTATGATAAAATCGAAATGATGTAGAGAAAATTAGCATGGGCTCCGTGCAAGCATGACACTCAAATTGGTGAAGCATTCCATATTTTCATAAAATAAGTAAGTCCCGAAAAGGTAATGTGACCATAGTTAACAACACTGTATTGTATATTTGAAAGTTGCTAAGAGAGTAGATCTTAAAAGTTCTTACCACAAGGAAAAAAACTTGTAACTCTGTGTGGTGATCAATGTTAACTAGACTGATCAGCATCATCTTGTAATATATACAATTACATATAATTGTGCTACACACCTGAAGTGAATGTTATATGTAAATTGTATCTCAGTAATAAAAAGAAAATAACTACTTAGCAATAAATAGGAATGAACTATTGATTACTACGGCAACATGGGTAAATCTCAAAATAATTATTATACGTGCTGCCGACGCAAGCACTCAAAATAATTATTCAGAGTGAAAGAAGTTAGGCAAAAAGAATACATATCATATGGCTCCATTTATATAAAGTTCCGGAAAATGCGATCTAATCTACAGTGACAAAAAGATCAGCAGTTACCTGGGAATTGGGGATCAGGGAGAGGGGGTGAGTGCACAGGGAAACGAGGGAGTGTTTGGGTGACAGGATATGTTCACACCTTGATTGTACTGATGGCTTCGTATTTTATACACGTGTCAAAATTTATCACACTTCACCCTTTAATATGTGCAGTTTGTTGTACATCAACTATATTTCAACAAAGCTGTTAAAAATAAAATGAGGCACAAGAAGAATTTAAGACATGAGTCCTGGGGCGCCTGGGTGGCTCAGTCAGTGAAACCTCTGCCTTCAGCTCAGGTCATGATCTCAGGGTCCTGGGATTGAGCCCCACATTGGGCTCCTTGCTGAGCAAGGGGTCTGCTTCTCCCTCTCCCACTGCTCCACCTGCTTGTGTTCTCTTGCTCACTCTCTGTCAAATAAATACATGAAATCTTGGAAAACAAACAAAACAAAACATGAGTCCTTATTGGATCCTGATTGGGGAACAAGAAACTTTAGATACAATTGGGAGTATTTTAATATAGACTAGATATTAAATATATTAGATTATTGATATTTTTCTTAGATATAATAATGATATCATGGATATGTAAGGAAAAGCATGTATTCTTAAGAGATCTATGCTGAGGTAGGGGGTAAAATGTTGTCATGTCTGCAGCTTATTTCAAATAGCTTGGCAAAAACAAAGTAACAAGAAACAAAAACTGCACACACAGAAAAACCAAAGACAATAGAAAAATAAACAGATAAAGCAAATATGGCAAAAATATTAAGACTGTAGAATCTAAGTGTTCAGTACACAAGAGTTCATTAAACTATTTTTTCAACTATTTTTATGTTTCATAATTTTGTCATTAAAACCTGGAAAAGGGGGCACCTGGGTGGCTCAGTCGGTTGGGCATCTGCCTTTGGCTCTGGTCATGATCTTGGGGTCCTGGGGTCAAGCCCTGTGTTGGGGTCCCTGCTCAATGGGGAGCCTGCTTCTCCCTCCGCTCTGCCGCTCCCCCCTGCTTGTGCTCTCTCTCTTCTCTCAAATAAAACTTTAAAAAAAATAAAAATAAAAAAATAAAAAGCTGGAAAAGTTTACCAAGTAGATGTGAAAAACGACCAAATTATAAAAGATAAATAAAACATAATTGAATTATCAAACTCAATGGATAGGTTTAACTGAAGTTACGGCAGAAGATAAAATTGGTGAATTGCAAAATAAATCTTAAAAAAATTATCCAAGATGCAGTACAGAGAAAAAGAGAAAATACGAAAGAAAAGTTAAGAAAAATAGAGAATAAAATGAGCAGGCCTATCATAAATCTGGCTGGAATTCCAAGAGAAAGAGAAAGAATGGGCTAAGGCCACCTTTGTAGATATAATCCCTGAGAATTCCTACTGAATCCCTGAGCATATAAACGAAAAGAATCCACACCTAGGCACTCCGTGATGAATCCGCAAGGCACCAATGGCTGAGAGAAGGTCACAGAAGCTTCCAGTGAGGAAAAATGACCTGCAAAAGAAAGAAGACCGAGTACCTACTTGTCATCACTTACGACAGAAGCTAAGCTAAAAGTGCAATATTTTCAGTGGATTGAAAGAAAATAAGTGTTAACCTAGAATTAATTAACTAGTATCTTTAAGAATGAGGGCAAAATAAAGGCATTTTCAGGTAAACAAAAAATAATAGAAAGTCATGTTCACTCAGTGAAATTTTTTTTAATACATATATATTTTTTAAAGATTTTATTTATTTATTTATTTGAGAGAGAGAATGAGAAATAGAGAGAGCATGAGAGGAGGAGGGTCCGAGGGAGAAGCAGGCTCCCCGCTGAGCAGGGAGCCTGATGTGGGACTCGATCCCGGGACTCCAGGATCATGACCTGAGCCGAAGGCAGCCGCTCAACCAACTGAGCCACCCAGGTGCCCCCACTCAGTGAAATTGTAAAGTGTGTATATGAGACAGAAAGAGGTAGGAGGTGAAGTTTGGAGACATAGGAAGGAGTATAGAGCACAAACAAAATCGGAATATAAGTATATTGGAATATGTGAGTATATCTACACAAATTAGACTAAACAAAACAATAATATCTTCTGCAGTTTAAAGTGGAATTAAAACACCAAACAATAGCTTATAAATTAGGAGGAGGGTAAAGATGCTAACCTTCTACTTTCATAAGTATCATCTTGAAGTTTCTAGGTCACCCTTAACGGAATGCGTGTATAACTTTCAAACTAGCAAAAGGGAAAAAGGAGAATGAGGGGGAGAAAAAGTCAGTCCAAAAAAAGGAAAGAGAGTGCAGAAAAGTAAACTTAGCTGACATGGGACAAATTGAAAGCAAAAAGTAATAAATATTTTTCATCCTGTATTAAAAAAAAATCAACACCAGAAGGCAAGTGCAGGAATAATCATAGCTGCATGTTTGTAAAAAAACAACAACAAAAAAACCAACTCCACATAACCTGGAAGTCGGTCAACAATGGACTGAATGAATAAACTGTGGCATAGTCTTACAATGAAATGCTATACAACAGTAAAAATAAACGAACTACAACTATATGCATCAGCATTAATGAATCTCACAAACAATATGAAACAAAGATGCAAGCCACAGAAGAATTTGGAAAAACTTTGAAAATTTGAAAAGCTGGACTAACTGACCAATACTTCCTTTATTAAAGACATCTAAAAAGACTATACAACCATAAAGGCAAGGGGATGATTGTCTTAATGTCAGGAGAGCCTATACCTCTAAGAAGAGGATGCCCCAAGGAGGGAGCATATATGGGGTCTTCCAGGGTGTTGGCCCTGTTCTCTAGCTGTGCCTTGTGTGGTGGTTCTGGGGAGCCTATGTTTTATGTCCCCTTTTTAAGTCTGTTTTAGTAATCAATTCAAAAATAAGATGCAAGAAAAGGGCAGTCCTCCATGGAACCCTCTGAGACATCCAAGAGGATGAGTCTAGAAATGAATCTACATACAACCTACCAAGACTGAATCATGAAGACAGGAAATTTGAACGGACCAATGAGTAAGGCGATTAAAACAGTAATAAAAAAATCTCCCACCAAAGAAAAGCCCAGTAGTAGATGGTTTCACCAGTGAATTCTACCAAACATTAAAGAATAACACGAATCCTTCTCAAACTCTTCCAAAAAACCGAGGAGAGGGAATACTCTCAAACTCATTTTATGAGGCCAGGAGTACCCTGATACCAAAGCCAGGTAAGGATAGGAAAAAAAAAAAACCCAAAAAACAAAAAACCAAAAATACCCCCCCAAAAAACCAAAACTATAGGCCAATATCCCTGATGAATATATGCAAATTTTCCAGTAAAATACTAGCAAACTGAAGGGAACAGCACATTAAAAGAACCGTACACCATGATCAAGTATAATTTATCCTTGGAAAACAATGCAAATTAATGTGACACACCACATTAATAGAATAAAAGATACATGTTCGTCTCAAGAGATGCAGAAAATTCAACATCCTTTCATGATAAAAGCTCTCAACAAACTGGGTATATAAAGAATATATCTTAACATAATAAAGGCCATCTATGACCAACTCACAGCTAACATACCCAATGGTGAGGTGTTCAAAGCCTTCCAAGATCAGGAATAAGACAAGGGTGTCCATGCTGGCTATTCCTATTCAACATTGCACTAGAAGTCCTAGCCAGAGCAATCAGGCAAGAAAAAGAAAAAAAGGCATCCAAATCACAAGGGAAGAAGTAAAACTGTCTCTGTTTACAGATGATATGTGTGCGTATGGATGGTAAAAAAAAAAAACCCAATCCTATGAAACTACATAGGGATACAGCTGTTTTCCATGGATAAGAATCTTGTGACTAGTCACGTCTACTTCTCGGGATAAAAAACCTGGAGTTGAATTTCCTATTCACCTTTTTTAACTACATAGGACTTTACTAGTTTAGGTACTTATTCCCTTTGATTTCTACTTTCTTCCTTTATCCTGATTTCCTCATCTATGTTTTACTGATATGAATTGCTTTTCTGATATGAATTACTGAAATGAATCATTTACAGAATAGGGTACATTCATACATATTACCATCCAAATTGACTTACAAATGGCCCAAGATTCTTTTTTTTTTTTTTTAAGATTTTATTTATTTGAGAGGAGAGAATGAGAGACAGAGAGCACAAGAGGGAAGAGGGTCAGAGGGAGAAGCAGACTTCCTGCTGAGCAGGGAGCCCGATGTGGGACTCGATCCTGGGACTCCAGGATCATGACCTTAGCCGAAGGCAGTCGCCCAACCGAGCCACCCAGGCGCCCCCAAATGGCCCAAGATTCTTATGATCTGCCTCCAGTCTTTTGCCTCAGCCTTATACCTATGCTAGTCCTGATATACATATGTTAATACTGTCATATTTTGTCTAAACTTATGTGTATTTCTGTTTTGATGCAACCGTGTACATGGGGTGAACAGGTAATCAGATTTGGTTTGCAGCTTGGACTTGCTTACAGGCTGTGTACCCTTAAATTACCTGGCCCCTCTGAACCTCAGTACCATCATCTGTAAAATGGCACCTTGCAGGATTATGTAGAACACTAAAATGTGAGTAGTGAAAAATGTTATTAACATTTGCCATTCGTTGGCTAGCTGATGTTGGAGGTTAAATAACCTGAGCTTGTTTCTTTTCAGATAGGATTATCTGCCTATTTTTTTCAGGATTTGAATGAATATATGTAAACAAAAGTGAACATAAAGCACCTGACAAAATACCTTATTTCCCCCCCCTTCTCTCCCCTGTTGCCTCTATCTGGGAAGCCCTTTCTTACCATCTCTGTTAGAATGCAAGCATTTACTAAGTTTCATTTAAACGAGTGTCTTTCCTATTTATTTTTCCAACCATAATTTATGTTGCCCTCAAATTTTTCCATCGACTTTTTAAATCTCTATATTGACTAGTTTTGTCTTTCTTGTCCCATGGTTCCAAGATTTTGGGGGGAAGACAGTGCTTTCCCTTTGTAATCCCTCCTAATACCTTGCATGCGGTTGGTCACTACCTACTGCTTTGAACTAATTTTCCCGAGGCTACTAAGACTGTGGGGCTCCTTCCTTTGGTTCACTTGAGCCAACGATCCTTCCCTGTGTGATACTGTAGCCTCTCGCAGCCTCCCGGAGCTCTGGTCCTGCTACTGTGTCACTTTCTGGAAGCTAGTACGAGCAACCACCACCACAAATAGAAGACGCACACATCTGAAACTGTACATTTTCACGTATTACACGCGGGGACCGGTCTTCCTCCGACCAGACCCGGACGCCGGGGGGGCTCCCAGCACCCCGCCCCTAGAAGCCTGTGCGGCGGGGACGCGCTCCGAGGGCCCGGGCACCCAGGGCGCGCTGTCCCCTGCAGTTAAATGAACACCACAAACAGGTGGGCACCTCCGACGCCCCCGGCACGTCCAGGACCCGGGCTTTGCCCCTCCTCTTCCGCCAGCCAAGCGCCTTCGCACCACCGGTGCCAGTTCGAAGGGCACCCTTCTTATTTTCCTGACGGCTGTCCCAGCTGGTGACTTCGGCCGGACACACACCGGAGGAGCGGCCCCGCTCAGGCCAGGGCCGAGGGGCCGCCCGCTCCCGCAGGCCCGCCGCCGGAGGCAGGGGCCGCCGCCGACCGCGGCCCGCTCGCCCCTCGTCCGCCCCAGGCCCGGGCGGCGGGACGCGCATGCGCACGGCGCCGCTCCCCGCCCCCACCTCGCGCCCGCGCCCGCGCCCCACGCCCCTAACGCGGCCCGCCGGGCCATGGAACCCGCCGAAGTTGGCGCGGTTCTCGCGCTCCCGTCCGCCCAGTCGGGCGCCTTCCCCCCGTGAGGCCCGCGGGCGCTCAGACGCGGCGCAGCGGCCGCCCGCCCGGGCCGCTCCGCCCGCCTCCGCCGCTCGGCCGGACGCGCGCCGCGCTCCCGCGGCCGGTCCCCGCGCGTGCGCGCTCCGCCAAGTGTATGTGTGTGAGTGTGTGTGCGGCCGAGGGGTGGGCCGCCGCCGCCGCCGCCGACGATGCCGCGGGGCCGCCCCCCGAAGCCCAAGGAGAGCAAGGCGCGCGGCGACACCGGTAAGCGGCTCCGGCCCGGCCGGCCGCGCCGTGCCGCTCCGCGCGAATATAGTCCCCGG